ATATACTACTACTACTACTACTACTACAACAACAACAACAACAACAACAACAACAACAACAACAACAACAACAACAACAACAACAACAATAATAATAATAATAATAATAATAACAATAATAATATACACATGCTAGCCTGATTTTCTGTTTGTTACTGACCTGGAAACAGTGACAGAACCGTAACCAGAGCTCCCACTAGTCTGTTAACAGGAGACACGTAGAATAAAACCTGCAAACAAATAAATATAAAGAAATGCATGAATATTACAGCTACAGAAAATACAAAACTTCATATTTTAGTTTGGCGTCTAACCTTCTTCTCTAGCAGAATGAGCTTGAAGAGAATGAGAACCTGCAATAACAGAGAACAGTCTCAGAGCTAAAATTATTCAAGAAACTGGATCTTTTGAATCCTTATTGCTCACAAAAATCTTGTGATTTCTTATTTGTCACCTTGTGTCGAAAGTGAAGGATTAGGTCTCTCGGTGATAAGCCTGAAAAGAGAAAAAAAATTAAGAAATTAATATTCCCCCAGAAAAATCTTCATGGATTGTGCAACAGCCACACAGGTTTAAAGAGGAAAAATACAGATCCATTTTAGGAATTAGAAAGACAAAATAAAAACAATAAAAAACCTGGGCCAGGCATGTGAGAGAAGGAGAGTTGAGTCCAACAAAATAAAAGGACTGCAATGCTGCAACAGTAAATCACTAAACGTGTGCTGGAGCATCTTTTTGATTTTTAGACATTTAGACATTTTTAGACTTTTGCTTCAGGGTCATATCACTGAGATCACATACAACGATAACAGCACACATAAATCATGATTCGTTATGTTTCGTGGTCAAAATTCACTTCAGGGTTGGATCAGTAAGTAGAAACAGAAAATGATGTGCGTTAGTTTTTCTTTTTTAACAGGCAACAATGTGTCAATTGATAACTTTACAATGCAAATAAACAGTGATGTCCCAATACCAGTTTTTCTCAAACCAAGTATGAATATGAGTACTTCAGTTTGGGTACTCACTGATACTGGGAATTGATACAAAGTACTTATCAAGTTAGAACCTGAACATTACAAAACACATTTCTTTTATTGGCCTACAGCCCCTCTGACTGGGTCACATCAAACATACAGCATGGTGTATACCGTTGCARCATTTTAAAATAAATAAAATAACTAATAAAATTCTCTTTCAACTTGTATACATTTCTTAAACATGGAACTGACAAACTTTCAGTATTGATACCAGTATCTGTATTGGTTCAGGAGTATCAGGGCATTTTTTTATGAGTACTTGTAACAATGATGGTATTGGGACACCACTAAAAATAAATATTTAAAAAGTCATATTGTAATGTATTATTTATACAATTTGAACTATAAACAGTATCCTACCAGTCATGTCAAACAAAACATTCAATAAAGTCTAAACTAAAAGGTTTCTGTCTGTTGTTTAAAAGATTTTACAAACATCAATTCATTTAGCTTTTCAGCAACATGAGTGCTAGTGAGCCGTTTACACATGAGAGGAGCTTATTAAAAGTCTCAAGATGACTTTAACTGTGTTTATTAGACTCCAAACCAAAGCATGTTTGCCATACATCCACCTCCCTGTCTCACTGGGATCTGAGAGCTTTTCCTCTCCTCATTTTCTGCTGTTGCAGTTATAAAAAAGAAATTAAAAATCATATGTGCCATCTTTAAAACAACAATGATTAACACCAATGACTGACACATTCTTTATTTTGCTGTGCGCACCAGACCATGACATCTGTACCATGATGGTTCAGTACAAATACATGTACTGCTATACCCTTAATGCACACTTAATGAATGTTTTACCTACCTAGATAAACTTGTGAGCCATCCAGAGCTGACCCCCTGAGAGAGCTGTTCATGTGGTCGTACAGCTCCTGTGGAAGAAACAGGAAGTGRCTGGAACTGATGACAGGACGTGGAAGACAAAAAACTCACAGGTGGAGTTTCCAGTCAGATTATTTCCTCACCTTCAGGATGGAGATCTGCGAGAAATCCTTCTCCTCGAAGTAGGCGTGTGTGATGAGCTGCAGCTTTGCTTGAAGTAAACCGTAGAGAGGCTGGGAGTAAAACAAACAAACTGAGTCAGCAGCTGAATGTGTGTGAGTCAGTTACAACATGACCGACAACATCCTGGTGAAGGGCCATTTTTCCTGACCAGAACCATGAATCACTGTTCCCTGCTGACATTTACTGAACACAAACAGCTGGTTAGCAGCAGTTGTTTTGTTAGCTTCACTCCTGAACACTAAAGAAAATGCTATTAAATTATAACATTCCTTTTCCTTATCAGCATTTCTTTAGAAACTCCGGGGAAACACTGTTTGCTATTCGCTGTTTTTTTCTCATTTATTCATTTCATTTAAAAACAAAAAACATTTTTCATACACAACAAGAAATTTACAAATCCAAATTGAAATGAAAGGAGGCAAAAAGAAGAAACATTAAATAACTCCTTTACTTTATACAGTACTCCAACGGATTTAGCTATTTTTGTTGTTAAGTAATTCACATGAGCTCTCCATGTCAGCCCTTCTTCAATGATAATGCCCGAAAATTTTACCTCACTGATTCTACTAATCTCAACACCATCAACTTTAAATGGAAAATCAATAGTTTTCTTTCTATTACTGAATATCATGTAACTAGTTTTATCCAAGTTTAATGATAGTGTTTAATGTTTTTTCTCCTTCTCCTGTAAACTGATGGTAGGGCTCCAGAGCAAAGAGCCTGAAAATTAAATTCAGTTCTGAGGCTGAAATCAAAGTTTATTGTCTTGACTTTACWATGATGGCTGTGACTCACCACTCGACTGAGGACGCAGACGCTCTTCTGAACCGTCTCCCTGGTGACATCAGCCCGTCGGACCTTCAGAGCCTGAGACGACATTTTGGAAAGATAAAAATTTGGATAATTCAGCTGTTTAGATCAATAAGCACTAAGTCACAGAACAAATCAGCTGAATGACGAGCAAAACATCATCTTGTAACAAACACCCAGGTTTAAAATGTTGGCCTCTTGTGAAAATGATTAAATCTAATGAAATTAGTTTTAATGAAATGTTTTTCTATTGGCTGCTCTCCTCAAGAGGGATCGCCACGAGTAAACTCGAGACATTTGTCAATTGTTTTGTGTCAGATGCTCTTAACTCAACCTGGGTTTGAACCAGCAGCCTCAGGATAACAAGACTGCAGCACTGATCACTGAGCTTCTACAGCCTCCCAGTCCAAACAAAATGCCAGCTTGAATATTGCCTTTGTACCATTAGACTGTGCATCAGCTGTCAACCAACAGCTGCAAAAATGCTGTTTTTTATATCTGAATTGTTGTCAATTAAAAACAACCCAAATAAGAAGTAATACATCTCATGTTCGTTAAAGCCAGTAACATGAATGTATAATGTTTTGGCCGACCTTTGCTTCTATTTGGCGATAGCAGGAAACTCCATAAACGCACTTTGTGTCTCCACTGAGAGGTGGCAGATGGAAATAAACTGTGTCTGAAAGATAAGAACAAGATCAGTCAGACTCATGTACATTTATGTGTTTTGTTTGTTTTTCAAATTCAACATGGTCAGGAATCTGCAATTTCATGATGTTCATGACAGAAACAAAAATACAAAAAGATGCTCAGAGGAAAACAGGTTATTTGGCTTCATCCTCAAGAAAGTAAAGAACTTTATATTAAACGGTTACTCTAGTGGGTTTAAGAAAAGAACAGAAGAAAGATTTTTAACCAAGCTGTTAAAAATAAGCAGTGTTCGTTACCATTTACCTGTTCAGATCTAATTCCAGTTACTAATAATGACATGTGAATGTTTGAGTGAGCCATACAAAACATTCGGACACAGCTGTGGACTGATTAGCTTTTTAATGTGCCTCCAACAGGCATCAGCTCAAAACCCGGAAACACACATCATGTAACAACCCTCTTCGCATCCTGACTCCGCCTCATGACATACAAAAGGGGCAGGCTGTCCCTACATGGAATCAGGATGTCATACATCGCTCCTCACCCTAATGGTCCATCACAGTTCTTATTTATGTGTTGTTTTTAAGTCAGWCATGTATCTGACTAAAAGCCTCCTGAGTCTGTGAGACCCTGCTCAAGAGCCTCACACAACTCAGTCTGCACATAAAATCATCAAATCAGAGATAACCACATTATAGAAATATATTACTGTTCACCTAATAAAAGACTACACAATGTGTAGTGTTTTTAAAAGTCAGTAGTAAACACCCCAATAAATTCCTTCAAAGTTTTCAAACATTGTTTTCATTATAAAAACAGTTACACAATTTAAAATTTTATTTGAGTATGTTTTTTTTCAATAACAAWTTTAAATGCTGTAGGCAGAAGCTCAAATTAACAAATATAAAGAAAAAGTCCATTTGAAAGCTAATTTGTTGGGCTTGAGCCCCATTATCTTTGTGCATTTTATATTAGCTAATTTCTAACAAAATCTTGATTAAAAACCATTTTCAAAAACATCTGACTTTTCATATCAAAAATATACAAAAGTATAAAGTGAAAGAAATGTATGGGTTTAAAAAACAGAACAATCTTGTCAAGTTTAAAACTGATGTCAGATAAGTTTTTAGCACATTTAAAAATCTGTAAAATAATCTGACATTCCAGATTCAGTAAAAATCCAAATTCACATTCCAATTTTGCTCAAAAACTTAACTAATTAACAAGCTGACTCTAACTTTTAGGAGCTTAACGTACTTTTGTAAACACAAACAAATGAATAAGTTTAATTGTGTCAGGGTCTTTGTGTTTTGTTTTATGGTTCTTTGTATTTTGGTTTTAATTTGTCCCCTTTTTGGTTTCTCATGTTTTCTGAATATTTAGGATTCTTGTGTTGTCACTCCGGTTTAGTTCTTCCCAGTCTGTTATGTCTATAATTTTTGTGTTTCTCCCTGTGCCGTACCTCCAATTTTTTTTTGATGGAAAACAGATTGTGTTTTATTTGAAAAAAAAAAAGACAAAAACCCCAAAGCAGACATCAATATAACATCTCTTTTCAAGCTCTGAATAACGGAGTTCGTCCTTTAGCAGCAGTGAATGTATTCTGTAACCAAAATCCATCATATCACTGATGCTGTTAGTTTATTAAGCTGCTGAGGGAAAAAAAAGCACTTGCAGTTTTTTTTCTTCCTATAAATCAGCTAACAAACGGTTTTAAGCATTCAATAAAAAGCAAACAAAATCAGCTGCATCTCATTGTTATCCTTGTAACATCCTGAAACACTGCCCATCAGACAAATATATTCACAAAAACAGACTGAATAGAAAGTTTCCTGCCTACSATGTTAGGTGTGGTCTGAAAGATGAAAGTCTGTTACCTTTGGCTCAYTTCCTGTTGTTTGCCCCCACATGACAGTTTGATAAGAGGTAAAACCACAATACAGTCAGGTGACTTCAGCCACAATCAGTCATCACGCTCCATGTGTCACATTTTAAAATGTCTTGTTTCTACAAACCACTTTTACAAAATAAAAGGTTTAAGCAGCACGTTAAAGAGAAATGACCTACAGTAGCTGGATTTACATCTTCAGCCCTGTCATTAGAAGGTTTTAAACAACTTATCCCAACATGAAAATCTGAGGGGGATAAAATCAACAGGAAGTTTATTTTGGCAGTGAACATACTGCACTGCTAACGAGTTGTACAAATACATGACTTACGTTTAACATAACTTATCCATAACTTAAGGTCTGGGTTTACAAATTAGCCTGTGGCTGGAAAACATTCAYACACAATGGTTGCTTTGCTTCTATCATGTAACATTGTTTACTGTGCTTTGCCTTGATAAAATAAACTTCAGTGAAATTAAACTTGTCTGCAGCACACACAAAAAGACAAGAAATTATTCACAGTGCAAAAACTTGTCAACGTAGTTCACTTTTTCAGCTTTTTCTAACAATATTAAAAGATCAAGTTCAAATGAGAGACAAAATTGAACTTTTATTTACAGACATGTAGAAATTAACACACAAACATGTGTGGCAGTGGTTAGGGGAGTCGTCCTGTAACTAGTGGTTTGTTGGTTCGATCCCCCATTCCAACAGCTTTATACTAAAGTCAAGTCCCATCCCAGAAATGATGTCACAGTAAACAAGGAAGTAAACACTTGTAAAATGTAAAACGTTGTGTGTCTATACTGTTGGAGTGAGGCATTTATTAAGATATAGACTTGTAGATTCTCTGTTTAAAGGATTACAATTGATCACAAAGTATAAAATAATTCAGTTCATCCCCTTCTATATCAAGATGAAATGTTCCGCAGTTTGTTAATTAAATGTCCCTGCCTATATGAGACTGGGATCTTTGTAAATACCCCCACACCCCCGACATAGTACAGCTGAGACGTACCCTCCTGGTAGTTGTGTGCTCCATCAGGAAGAGACAGGAAAGGGAGGTATTTCCACTCCTCTGGTAGCAGGTTGCTGTCGTGACCCTCATCTGGCATCAGAGGGGGGTACGAGAACTCAACCTGAGGACAGAAAACAACATATTTCTATTGCAACGCTTCCAATAGTTTATACTCAATACGTTTCTCCTCCGAGACGAATTAAGCCGTTCAGATGAGAGCTGGTAAGGACTAACAGTGTAGTCCAGACAAGATGGCACAGAGGTGGGGCTGTGATGATATGGTGTCTGAATGTAAAAGGCAACAAATGGAAGCACAAATGTGAAATGATTTTCACTGATTATTTACCCAATAGTGTGGAAAACAAGAGCGTGTGTAGAAGTCAAGAAAAATCACAGAAATTTTGTTTGAAACTCGTGAAACTAGTGTCCCATCCTGGTCCTCAAGGGTCACCATCCTGCACACTTTAAATGTTTCTGTTTTGATTTAAAACAATGATAGTCGTTACTAAAGAAATTATGTGTGCACCTCTATAAACCAGGAGGAAGGATATTCCAGCATGGTATTTACAAAAGAAAAGAAAAAGTGAAACAGGAGATCTGATCAAGTATGTCACCAGACTTGAAATCAACAAAACACCTACAG